GTCACTGTGTTTCAGTGGGTGCCGTTTGTACTGCTACTGCAAGCTTTCCTTCTCTACCTTCCACGGCTTGTTTGGAAGCAACTGCAGTTCTTAACAAGTAAGCTTTCAAAGAAGCGTTGCTCGAGGCTTTCTCTCAAGGTTCTACAAGATTTTATGACCAAATTTCAGAAATTGACCTTCCAAGCGTTACGGTAGCACTACGTAATGAAGCAAAAAGGATATCTGATCCTCTGAACGTGGCTTCGATTATGAGACCGGCACGAAGAGGTAGGTGAGCGTCATAATATTTTATTCTAGACAAGGTACGCTCAAATTTGCATGGCAATCTTTTCCCTCTCAGAATTTGTGATAAAATATTTAATTCACTGAAATTTATTAACATATTTGGTTATAGTTTGACATGGTATTTCATTACATAATTACATATTTGATTTTAATACCGCCTAATGGCTGAAATCATGGCCCATTACAATCTACTACTTGCCCTTTCAGGAGCATGGGGCTATAAACTCACACTTTCTCTGCTCTTTACGAAAATGCTCTCGATAGCCGTGGTCGTTGGCCAAGTGCTTTTCGTTGGATGGTTCTTGGGCGCTGGATTTCTGCACGGCCTACGGGTGGTCGTCGACGTGTTGAATGGCCGACAATGGGAAGAAAGTGGCAATTTTCCAAGGGTTTGTAAAAATGACCTTGATATTTTATGGACAAAAATTATACAGAGGATTGAACAAAAACCAATACGAAGGGGCAAGCCATTGCAGTGCCGGTGTTTTGTCTCAACGTACTTCAGTCATCCGTTTTCACAAATGCGATAGCGCTATGATGAAGAGATAGTGAGCATGAAGGCGAGAGCACAGAAAAGAGAACACAGCTATGAGCGAGACGCAGACACTTCGCTACACAGACTGTTGCATTTCTTACAAGAGCGGATACACGCACAGCACAAGTAAAAAGTTTCCAGCGCAGTTATTTAGCAGGCATATTTAGGCTGCGAAGTTGGCATATTTTCTACCTTAGTGAAGATCGCTGGGTGCTAACCCTCCAAGGCTTAGTCCGTCGATGGCGCGTGTTCGAAACTGCCACGTGGCCAACGAATAGTAACTGCCCCTTGGACTAAGCCTTAGAGAAGCAGACGAACAGAGCGCCGCGCCGCCGCGTGCCCCCCCCCCCAACTAACTTAGCGCCGAGCGCTGTATTACTCACAGAAGGGATTAACGCACCTAGTTTATTGTGGAATGTACCCTTAAGGAAAAGTGAGTGAATGCCCGGTGAAGCCCATTTTAGTCTCCTGCCGAGCGGTTTCGGTCTCCTGTGATCTCGCCAAGCCACAATGTGACTAAAAAACAGTCTAACCTGAACAGATTGACCCCAAGAGAAATATTGTTGACGCGCCTTTCACCGACGCAGCTGTGGTAAGCAGCTTTTCTCACTCCTCTACATAACCAATGTTTGCTTACGTTTCGACGGGGAACACGGTGGCGCGGCGCATCCCAAAATGTTTTTGTAAATCCAACACATTATCTATCATTGGATCCTAGCTGGAGATTTTGTGTACAATTGATTATATGTGAGCAATGGTGCCTTTTCAGGTGACCTTCTGCGATCTTGAAGTTCCGTGAACTCGGTGGGAGCCGTCCATAGATGGTCCCTGCAGTGCGTACTCATGGTATTGATGATATTGATTTTTTGTCAAATTTTCTATTTTTCAAGTGGAAAGGAGTACACCGAAAATTCCTCAGATCAACATGTTCAACGAGAAGATCTTCGTGTTTCTATGGTGGTGGTTCTGTGCTTCTTCTGCCAAGTCATCTCATCCTGGAACATTTTTCCGATGGCTCATTCGCCTCTCATTCGACGCTCAGCGATCGTTCATCACTGCAGTTTTGGTGAGCCCTACTATTGGAAGAAAAAGAGCCCTCTTAGGGCAGAGAAGAGGTTGGCTGAACGGTGGAAGGGTTTCGATGAATTCGTTGGGTCACTGAGTGAAGAGATCGCTAGGAAGATGGTGGTTACTATCCGCACTCCACCACACTGGGAAGTGCATACCAGCGACATCACCAAATATAAGCTCCGCCTCGCGTGTCATAATGTATCAGAGCCTTCAAGGGAGAATCCGGGATGTAAACATAGTGCGCTTTGAAGAGAAACTGCGTCCCTTCACAAATCGACTATGTTCTGCTCCCAACTTCTGACTTTCCAAGGCAATGTGCACAAAAACACAAGTCCTTTCCGAATGCACTGACCCTCGTTTGGAAAATTTTACAGAATGAGCCCTCATTTCGTCTCCCAATGTTTGCCTCCTTCCAGCTGTGATTCACTGAAACCTTCCGTAATTATGAGTTGCAGTAAGTTTTAGCCTCTGCTCTATACCTCTTCTTTCCAGGAATCGGCTATCAATGACGATTTTGACGCGAGAGAAGTAAGCGAGTTCTGTAGGAAAACGCTGAAAACAGACGGCGTAACGATTGTTCGACTCATTGAAGAAAATGCAACAATATATCAGGTACGGTGATCCTCAGGTACACACCTTCGCTCATCAAAATACCTCTCTGAAGAGATTCACCTCGATCCACAGGTCGTGTCATTTCTCACGGTGTTACTAAATTCGTGCAAAAACTAGTTCTTTGAATGGACAGTTTAAAAGTATCTGATTTCAGAAATTCATAAAGAAAGTTTTGACTAATCAAGCGGCGATAACAGTGAAGCCATTTGAATAAGTTGAATAGCATGCAGTACGAAATCCTTACATTCGATTTTGAAAATTGTTAAACACTGATTTTTGTTTCTGTCAAAACTCTTAACCGCCGATGTCGGCTAACCGGCTTATAACGTTGTACGTTGAGTACTAAAAGCCACTTCGAATATACCATGAAAGGTTGGAGTAAGGGCACAAACTGGGATCAAGTTGGTGCGGTAAGAGCGCCAACGAACTGCTAGTTAAGAAAATAAAGAGAAGCCGTCGGAAACACGAAAGTACAGACATTTCTGCTCTGTACTTTCGTGTTTTCGTTGTGGAGGACAAGGTTAGACAGTGAGATGGTAAAATGGTCGTTGAGGAAGAAGGAAAGGAATCTTCCGAGAGGAGAGGGCTGCAGATCAGCGTGACAACGGAAATCGTACAACACTACCACGGTGGGCGAGCGGACCGGGCTTTGGTGCCTCATAAGGGGCATCTTTAACCATCGCTTTTGGATCATCTCGGCCATAACAACGCCTCACATCGCCTCGACCTACGACGTCTACTCCTTTTCAGTTTATTCGCAACATTTCGCTAACCCAATTGTGAGTGTGCCTTTAAGGTGAGGCCGTGCTCCGGTGATGAATCGATGGACATTTTTCTATTCTATTCTAGTCTTCGGGACGAGGGAGCATGCAGATCAGCGGTGTCTGCTCTCTCGTCTCGGATCGCGGGAAGCGAGAGCCATGGGTTCATTTTAGCCGAGACGGAAATCTTGCCTATAATCCAACATCCTTGCAAAGATTTACTCCCAATTTTAGTTTACATTACACTATTCCAGGCAGCAGAGTTCATTGTTCCGCTGTGGCAAGAATACATTCAAAAGTCAAAGTGAAGTGGACCGAGCAGATCTCACCATGATTTTTTTCCAGATCTTCTTTCCTTCATTTCAGTAACTGCGGAAAAACCGAATAAAAGTATTTCTGACAACAGTGTTGTTGTCTTGGAAGTTTTAAAAAATCGAACCCCACCACAAGACTTTGTCATCCTTCCTCCTGCTGTCGTAATAGCCATGCCCTTCGCCTAGATCGCTGTACTC